CACCCTCCCCGAACCGACCTCTATCTTATACCTCGGTCCGACTGTGCAGAAGGAGGAGGTGAAGGACGAGGAGGAGGAGGAAGAGGATCAGAGGGAGGAGGAGGAGGAGGAGGAGGAGGAGGAGGAGGAGGAGAAGAAGGAGAAGGAGGAGGAGGAGGAGGAGGACGAGGAGAAGGGAGGAGGAGGAGGACGAGGAGGGAGGAGAAGGATCAGGAGGAGGAGGAGGAGGAGGAGGAGGAGGAGGAGGGGAGGGAGGAGAGGAGGAGGGAAGGTTGCCTCCCCGAGCTCCTTAGCGACCTCAGCTTGGCCGCAACGCGCCCTGGGCTCTTGACCGTCACCTGCGCGGGGCCTGCGCCCTGGAGCGGACGCCCGACGGCGAGGCACCACACCAGCAGCCCGCGACGCCGGTCGCGACGCCGGCCGCAGCGGGGCTGGGTCATCGGCACCGGCGCGTCTCCTCCGCCTCCGCCTCCTCCTCCTCCGCTTCCTAGTACTCCACCTCTGATTATTATCAGCGTAAGAATCTAGAACAGTATTATTAGAAATACTAATATTATCATTATTAATATCATTCGTGGCATTATTATTATTAGTCATATTTCTATGTTTATTATAGTTATTATTAATAAAATTATTATTATCATCATTATCATTATTATTATGATTATTCTTAATATTATTATTATTAATATTATTAGTAGTAGTAGTAGTATTATTACTACTATTAATACTATGATGATTACTCGTGCCCTCTATGATGATTACTCGTGCCCTCTATTATTATTGATAGTGAGAACACTAATAATATTGATATTACTATTGATAAAAACAGTAGTAGTAATACTAATAAGAATGATAATCATAATAATGATAATAAGATAAGCTTTATTAATACTAAAATTACGTTTAGTCGTACTAGTATAAATACTCGTCTGTTCGTTGTTAGAACTGTTATCTCTTCCATTACATCTTAAAAATATGATTGCTCATATTATTCATATGATGTACTGTTTTTTTTTCTTCCGCCTCCTCCACCTCCTCCTCCTCCTCCGCCTCCTCCTCCTGATCCTCCTCCTCCTCCTCTTCCTCCTTCTCCTCCTCCTCC